GTAGGTGTGTGAGTGTGTATGCGTCTGTGTGTGTGTGTAAGCGTGCATTTATGCATGTAACCATGCAAGCAAGCAAGGATGGATGCATGGATGGATGGATGCACGGCTGGATGCGTGTGTGTCTGCATGCATTTATGCATACACGCATGGGTGCGTGATGGATGCATGGATGATGTATGATGATGTATGTGTATATATAGATATGTATATATGCATATACAGTATGCATGAGCGTCCGTATGTACGTAGGTAGCTAGGCAGGCAGGTTTGGGAATCGGTAGTCGGTAGTCCGGCAGTCAATTTTGAGGTACTTGGTGTAGCAGCATTCCGAATCTGTTATGCATCTTGAATAGTCGTGTGTTTTGATTCTACCGTCGTACCAACCTCCGCAAGATTACATGCCAAGTAGATCCGGACCTTGTGTGGCCACAGCCGCGCTTGCTGCAAGCCCTGGCAGAAGCTATAGTGTTTAGGGTCCGAGGCAGCCAGAATCCATGCATATCCAGAGTCTAAGGTTCGTGGGTTTCTTGCCGAGGCAGCCAACAAGTTTTCAGGGAAGGAGTATCAGGTGAAGCTTGTTGGGGGTCGGTTGGGGGGATCCTTGTTAAAGATGCTAATCGACACGGCTTGTGTTTTGGTCAAGACTGCGGAGTTAAGGGCACAGAGTTTAAGGTAGAAGCCAGAAAGTTGGAGCATTATTCTCCACATGATACTAATGTACTGTGTAGTTTGTATTAAATGTTTCCGCACCTCGAGCTCAACGCTGGCGGGTCACGGAGTCCGACGTAGATGATCTGAATGGCGCCGATAGTGTAGGGATTTGGTTTCGGGTACGGTGTTCAGAGCCTGTGGAGATCCTTCATGTTGGGGTCGGAAATATTCGCAAGATGATCCTCTTGTGGTCCACATGCTTACTAAGAGTTAATTTGCTCCAAAACACAAAACGAAAGCAGTAAGGCCCCTGTATCCGATTTCGTAGGCACAGCCTAGCTAGACACAAGATGAGTAGCAAGTTGTACCTGTCCCGAATGGTGGTTCGCGTCGAACTGAATGCCAGAAACACTTGCCTAAGTTCTAAACTTGTGTGTCCTGAACGCCCAAAGCCCCAAAACGCAACAACCAAAACCCTAAACCCTAGAGCCCTAAACCCTCATAATCTGTGAACCACCTTAAAGCAGGTTACCAGTTTCTCCAAGTGCATGGCTGATGTTGCTGTTTTGCAGAGTCGTCTTCCTTGGAGCGTTGAGATCGCTGCGCCTGCCCTGCCTTAAGCCAAACCCCAAGCCTCTACACTTCTAACCCCTCTACACCTCTAACCCCCAAGCGCTAAACCCAAAATCTGAAACCCGAAACCTAAACCCTTTCTAAACCCCCAACTCTGAACTCTCAAGAGATTTAAGAGGACACTTCTGGATTTCACAGGGCTGAACAGAGACTTCTGCTCTGAGATGCATGAAGTTTCTGAAAAGTTTAGGCTTCAGGCTCTACAGGGCCTTTTTTAGGGACTACAGATCCCTTTCAGGTGGATCCTTGCAACCGGGGTTGATCCTGAAGACAAATTAGGGACTATAACCTTAGTTGGAGAATGTGTTTGCAAGGCTGGGGTTTAGTGATCACCAAAAACCATCACTCGAAAATGCAAACCCCAAAGCCCTCAATCCAAACCGTAGTTTCCTGATTCCCACAACCTTGTCTCTGCCAACAAAACTTGGGTATCGTCGGCAGCGCAGCGAGCTCAAATCAGCAGAATGCGAACTGCCCGCCAGCACAGTGTACAGAGCGCTGGCCCTTAGCTAGACCTCGGTTTGGGGTTTAGGGCTTCCCTACACCTAAGACCCAAACTCTACACCCTAGATAAACCCTGAACGTGTACCCTAATAACCCTAATGCCTGAAACTAGTAAGCCCTCAAGAGGGTCGACATTTGGGAACTTTGCAGTCGTCGCACACTATCAAGCTGATTTTTACAGGCATAGATGTGAGTTATTACAAGACAGTTCTAGGTAGCCCCGATAAACGGATAGACGGATGCTTTCGAGGCTGACGTCATTGCATTCTCGGTGTCGCAACAAGTCTTGAAGGGCCCACGTGCTCATAGTACATTAGGGGGGTTGGCGGGTTTAGGGTTCAGGGTACGTAGTATATATACCTGGCCTTAGGTTAGTCCCTATTCGGGGATTGCTTCGCAAGACCAGGCTCATGGACCACGGATCGAGACTTTAGGATCCTAGGGCCCACTTGGCAGCCTTAAAAAGGGGTTCTGAAGAATTGCCAATGCAAGCCATGCGTGTATAATACAAGGGCAGGAAGAGGTGGCAGTGCTATTCGTCAGGGTTCTGTGCTATACCCTATAAGTATAGTATTATCTCCCCCTTGTCACCCCATTCATTAATTTGAATGATCAGGTAAAACAATGCCCATATCAGCAGGTCTTGGCTCCCAAACCTCGAAGCCAGAGGATGCTAAATCCTGATTGAGCGACGTTGTCCATGCACAAGTCGGGATGACGTGAGGCACGAAACGATGTGGAACCAATGAATCTTACTTCATTTCACCCCTGCAGTTGGATAGGCGAGGGCCTTATCAGTAGAATCTGGGAAGTATCACTACCTCTGCAGTCGCTGCTTTCATCCCAGGTTTTGACAGCCTCTGCATTTTTGGATTAGTATCGTGGGTCCGTACTGCTCAGTGTCCGACCTCAGCAGTCCAGCATTTTCTGCAACTCCCTCTTAGAGTTCCACGATGTGGGCTAGCGGCTAGGTTTACTTTTCCCAGATTTCGCAGATGGTCTCCAGTTCCACTAGATTGCAACTTCCACTCAGATTGTAACGGATGCTAGGTGGAGATAGCAACTGTGCGGAAAACCGTATCCTAAACCCTAAACCCCAAAACCTGAACCGAAGTCTTCAGTCCTTCAGCCAGGTTTAGCTGTCGAGCAGGGGCTTCGTTTGTCCAGTCTATAGCCCTCATCCCGGAAGAGGGGTCAGGGCCTTAACCCCTAAACCTTGAATCCCTAAACCCCCAATCCCAAACCCCTAAACCCTAAACCCTAAACCCTAAACCCTAAACCCTAAACCGTTAAACCCCAAAAGCCCTAAAACCCGACCTTGAGAGCTCCTGCACATGGCTGGGTCCGAGGTGGATCTTACGATATCCAGCCCCTGTTTAGGGCTTGGGGTATAGGGCTTTGGCTTTCGGCTTTCGGGATTAGGGTTTAGGGCGTACGGCCTCTCGTCCGAGCACCCATACTACAGAGTTGAACAAGCACAGTACAAGGATATCCTAGGGTGCTGCACGTAACTAAAGTGTAACAATCACCCGCACCAAGAGTCTTACTGAATTCACGGCTGTTCCGAGCACACAAGTTGATTTGGCCTCCTGTTCCACATGTTTCGTGTTTCGAAGCTGTTGCTTCGAACGCTACTGTGTCCATCAAGCCGGACTTGATCAGTCGCGCCTTCAAGATGACTTTAAAATCAGGGCATCGGCCACAAGGAGTCATGATGCGGCTTCGATGCTGCAGGGCTCACACACCTGTTTTCACTGCTAGATGAGTGTAGAATCTAGGTTTGTAAGCATTGCGAGTTCTAAAGTCTGCTACACAACAGCCTCTGACCTAACTCTCAAATCCCAACCTGAGCTTACCCCTAAACCCTGAATCCGAAGACCCTGATCTGAATCGGAGAATCGCAGTCCTCTTTAGATTAAAGTCTGTGTTCACGGATCAGCTTGATTGGCTGAAGGACCAGCATGGTTTTTCCGATGCAGGGCTGAATTTGCTTGCATCCTGTGGCCTTACAGCCCCGTCACAGCTTATCTTTAGGACTGGAAGGTTTCAGCTGGCGATGAGAACTTGGCAGAGGTGATAAGTTATAAGACCCCACTCCTGGATTCCTCTATGAATTACGAGACTTTACACAACGGTCAACCTTCCATCCGAACCCGAACCGTCAAGTCAAAGCCCTCGACCGACAAATTTCGGGTCTCTTAATCAATCCATGGCAAGTACTGGCACCAGGGGAAAGAATCCCGGCTAGGCATTGGCAAGAAGGTTTAGGGTTCGACCCTAACCCTAAGGCCTAAGCCCTGAAATAGGATTTTAGATTGCAGGCTTCAGAGCTCCTGGACGTAGTGACATCCCGGCCGTGATCTCATCAGGCATTTAGCGGTCAGTTGCGGCTGCTGCCGGGCACCCCGGAGGGACTCATCGAAGGTTTAGGGTTTAGGGTTTGGGGGGATTTAGGGTTTAGGGTCTAGGGTTGGGGGGATTTAGGGTTTAGGGTTTGGGGGGGTTTAGGGTTTAGGGTTCAGGGTTTGGGGGGTTTAGGCTTTAGGGTTTAGGGTTTAGGCAATTTGCCAACTTAGAGGGCCGGACATAGGACGCATGCAAGTTGCACGGTTTGGGGTTCGCGTTATATCGGGACTGGGTTGTTTCTGCCTTGAACTATAAAGGCAGCCAAGAAGGTGCGAATGGTAACGGGCCTTGAGGCGCAGATTGTGGACGGCGTTCTGAAGAAGAAAGTCTCTTGGGGTTGATATGGTTTCCCCTGAACCTCTAAGCCCTAAACCCTGAACCTTTACACCCTAAGCTCCCTAAACCTTGAGGGAACCCTCAAACGGATCCCTTATAGAACCCTGATTTGCGAAAACAGTAGAATCCTTGCTTGGGGTTTCGATCCTTCTGATCGCTGCATCCTATGAGAACGTCTACGGTGAGGCGAACCCCGATGTAGAGCAAAGTCTCGAGTGCATTGACATCGACTCAAGCTATGGGGTGCAAAAGCCATGAATGCCTGGCACCCGAAAGTCCTTAGGCATAAGGGCGAGTCAACAAGACAGTAAAGCCAACTTGCCACAAAGCTGAGACCGCACCAGCCCCAAACTGAAATCCAAGGCCCACTACACCCAAAACTCCAACAACGAGGTTGGGTTTAGGGCTTAGGGTACCCTCAACCACCCTTCACAAGCTGCTCAGCCCTCTGATCCATAGACCCGTCTCAGGCCTCACGCCTTCTTAGCAGCACACCTTGTGGGTCTGGAGTCCTCGGTCAGCGAGGCTGCAAACCGCGAGACCAGAAGCAGATATTTAGGGTTTAGGGTTTAGGGTTTAGGGTTTAGGGTATACTACACTAAGATACAATACGAAGGCATCTTCTTCTGTTCTATTCTGTTATGTCATATTAACCCTTCGTTCCTTTGATTGCGGGGCTGTCGGTTGGGTCTCGTAGTATGGTGTCCAGGGCTCTAGAGCCCAACTAGAACCATGTCCATTAGCCAAAAACCCTGAGCCCCGAAGCCCTAGACACTAAAACCCCTAGACCTCACAGATCTTTGGACGGCTGTCTTCGCCATAAGGGTGTAAGGTTTGGAGTTTAGGGTGTCTTCCAGAAGAATTTGGGTCCCTTTTTAGATGTGGCCACAGGGTGGTCCTTACTCTTGTGTTTTTTGGGTGTATAGTAGGCTTCTGCTTTATTTTTAAGCGGTGTTCAACAGTATACTACCCCATGCGCTCTTCCAGGCCCCTAGGAGAAAAACGAGACACACACACACATAATACACAAGAGAGCGAGTGGCAGCAGCCCGGCGAGAGTTCCTCAAAATTCGACAAAGCATTGTTTCGGATTTTTAGGTTGCCAAAATGGCTCGCCAGCGAGGATCTTGCTGGTAGCTGATAACATGGGCTTCCGCAGGTAGTTGGTGCGGGGGGGGGGGGGGGGGGGNNGGGCTTACGCACATTTCATTCCCTTCAGGCGCGTGACTTAGGTAGTTTTTTTCCATAAGCCTGTGGAAGAAGGCTTTGATCCGCAAGAAGGCTGACCATGTTTTGAGGCCTAGTGCTTGTCACTATGTTTGGGGTCAAGATGGCGATGAACATCTTGCTGCAGGGAAGTGCAGCGGGATTCATTGGCAATGCTCGTGCCCGAAGACCTTCAAGCTAGTTCTTGTATCTACCCCTACTTGGAGGAGTAAGTAAGCTATAAGTACCTTATATAAGGTTGACTATAACTGTAGTAGCCTTATGCATAAACCCCCAAGCCCTGCCCTAAACCCTAAACCCCTAAACCCCATACCCTAAAGCCTGCGAGGTGCGCAGCCTGTTCCTCCGGAATGTGGAGACGGCCGTCTCGGCCATCTGCGTGAAGAAGGACCCGGAAGCCCAACTCTGACCTGACTGTAAAGCGCTTAAAGTTGAGGGATCAGGGCTTATAATATAATGTTAAGGCTTAGGGTTGAGGCGGGTTTAGGGTTTAGGATTGTAGGGTTTAGACAGAAAGCAAAATCCTAAACCTAATCCTGCACTTAGTCCCTAAACTTACTGATAACTTTCGGACTCCGGACTTTGGTTCGAAAGCGTCGGCGGGGCTTGAAACTTTCATAGGGTTTAGGGTTTAGGGTTGAATCTCGGAGAATAACAGGTTTGCGAGCCCACTCTGAGCGCCTTGATGTTTTGTGTTTGTTTACTTCGGGTATACTTCGAGTTCGCCATCGGATCGCTTCCTGGATATCTACCGTGAGGTGCATCAACTAGGACCCTAATCCCTGAACTCTTAACCCTAAAGCGTGCAGCAGTCAAAATCCTGGCGAACAAGTGAGCTTAGGAACCCAAAAAGGACATAAGCATAAGCATTTTATGGGGATATCCCTACCTTATTGGGCTTCATTATTACGGGGTTTATATGGGATATCCATATCCTAATTTTTGCTAACCCTAAACCCTAAACCCTAGACCCTAAACCCTAAACCCGTGCTTTTTGGGGGCCCTAAGAGCTCAGAAGGAAAACCATGTCCCAGTCCCGACTAAAGTTCCTTAGCCGGCAGGTTTAGTGTTTAGGGTTTAGGGTTTAGGGTTTAGTTTTAGGGTTTCTTGGTTGACCTTTGGGTGTGGGTTCAGCGTTTAGGGCTTTGGCTGTAGGGGTTTACGGGTTTAGAGATTTAGAGATTTAGAGGTTTAGGGTTTAGGGTTGAGGGAGATTAGGGTTTATGGGGTTTATGTGGTTTAGGATTTAGGGTTGTTAAGCTCTTGGGATTCTGATTGAGAGCGCTGAGGGGCAGGGGCTTTACTTCTCAACCCCTAATTCTGAACTCGGCCCTAAACTAAAAACCTCTCCATGCCCTATATGGTGATGGTAATGGGCTAGGGTCATCATAAACCCTAAACCCTAGACAGGGTAAACCCGAAATGTCCGACATTGTAAACCTTGCTGGCCCTAAGCCCTATTAAGCCTAAACCCTAACCCTGCGCGGCAGGGCGATGGTGATGCTTTGTTGAGAGCCACTTGGACCTGCCAGGATCCTCCTTGTACCCTCAAGCACGGGTATATGGTCCCAAGTAATTTAGATTTTAAGGTTCAGGGTCTAGGGTTTATAGGCCTTAATGTCTATTTAGGGTGGAATAGAGTGTAGATGGGGAGTCTCGGTGCTGTTGGAGAACGGAGGAGCTTGGAAGTTGAGCTTTTGCGCCTCAGCCTAGGACCTTTGGGTTTGGGGTTCATCGGGTTCAGACTGCGAATAGCCTATACCAAAAAATCCCCACCTAAGCGCTCAACAGCAAGTGAAATAATGGCCCAACACCCATCTAAAAGGCTGTTATTCTACAGACTTCTGAGGTCCATGTACACCGGAAGCGCTGTTGGCCCTGACCTGCTCTAAGAGCCAAACTCACCCTGAGGCTATTGACCTGGGCCTCACCCGTGAAGCAGGGCCAGCGAGGCCACGGGTTCCTTGGACCTGAAACCCCAAAGGCCCTTAAGCCCAAAGGTTCTCAAGTACCTACGTAGTGAAAGGTAAGGTTTCTGTAGGAGGAGTTATCAGGATGGTTTGAGTGTGTCTTCCCATAATATAGCTACTTAGGACCCTTTGGGAACGGCCGCCAGGGGTTAAGGGCTTAAGGATTGAGGGCTTCTCAGGCTTGAGGAGTTTAGGGTTGATGGTTTAGGGTGGGGCTTAAGGCTATCGGCCTAACCACCAAAGAAACCCACCTTCTTAGAGCTTTAAGTTGGTAGGTTTTCTGACACGTTGAATGGAACCTTCACCTCAAATTCCCCAGGTTCTCGGTCGCAGGATGGTCGTGGCTCGAAGGACTTGAACCCCCTAAACCCTAAATCCTAAACGTAAGATGCTAGGAGATGGAGCTGGTTCCAGGCTTTGAACCTCCACTTCCCCAGAGTCCTAATGTAGAAACTTGAGAACAACTCAGTGTTGATAACAGGGTTTCTTGTATAATTGTCTAGCATGACAGCACTCCTGATGTCATTGTCTACTCTAACCGGGTTCCTTATATAATTGTCTGCTATTAATGTACCCCCCAAACCCATGCCGTCTTGCTATCAAGGGCGCACCTGGACCCTGGTGGTTCCGTGGAACATGACTGTGCTTATTTTTCAACGGAAGCACCAAACTTCTTGAAACATCAAACTATCGGTTTAGGGGTTTAGGGTTTCGGGTTTATCAAGGGCGCTAGATTACAGATTTCAGCCCTTGAGTTCCCCTCACGTCCGGTTCTCGGGCACCGGAAATGCTGGGACAGCCTGCCCCTCACAGGCCCTATGCTGCCGAAGTGCTGGAGGCCGGTCGTCGTACCCCCTTGAACCTTTTTGGGGGTTCTATATTCCCTATATAATGTCAACATATTCCAAAAGGTCTCTACATGTTTCTACATTATGGCTTCCAGAATCCTGCCAAAAGCAGGCCATACTCTGGGCCCCATTTTTTGCTTCCTGACCGAGCATGAGCCGATTGTGCCCTTGTTGCTTCCAGATTCTACCTGAAAGCCTAGCAAATTGGGGAGGCCCCGTTCCTGTAGTCTCCATTGCAGATCCTGGATCGGATCCGGATACGGTACTACAAACAAGAGGGCATCCGACGAGTTTTCAGGAAGGGCCTTCGTTGTTGCAGGTGTATGACCCGAGCCCTACGTATGCACCCGTGAACTTCGACCCTCGTCCTGACACGCCAAGCCGAAACCTGAAACACTACACCCTAAGCATCCCTGAGCCCTAAACCACCTAAACCACCTGAACCACCTAAACCTGGAACCCTGAAACCCTGCATCCTTCCAGTTAGGACGGCCCCCTGAGCCTTTAGTCACATAAACCCTTACTTAATCCACCTCATGCTTCGACCAGCTTGCCCCCCCCCCCTCACAATCCTGAATTCGGCTAGGCTCTTGAACTCCCCTCTAAACCCTCAACCCTAAACCCTCTTCTTTCTTGCGGTTTCGGGTTTAGGGATTAGCAGGACCCCCAAGGAATGCAGACTAATGGCCTTCTAGAGGTTTCGGTATTGGGCCATTGACCGGTTTAGAGCTTGGGGTTTAGTGTTAGGGCTTAGCCCTAAACCCTAATTCAACCCTAGAGCCCTATAAACCCTAGTGTTGGAGGGGACCTGCGGCTGATGATATAAATCCTGCATTACCCAGAGAAATGAGACAGACCATTGAGGCTGCGCAGGACGTGATCCGCCTCGGCTCCGGGGCGGATGCGGCTGTTCTGGCACCCAGCCTTCCGGTGTTTATGGTTTTTGGGTTTCGGGTGTAGGGTTTCGGGTTTTAGTGTTTAGGGTTTAGGGTTCATGGAAGCCTAACTAATCACCAACATTATTCCTTAAGGTTCCTGATTTTGTTTATAAGGTAACCCAACGCCCTATTCTAACTATTGAGGCCCCTATATTAAACTGGGTCTGGTTGCTTACAGTGCCATCGGGATTAGTTCAGGCTCCATTGTGCGGGGGTTTAAGTTTTCTTTTGTGCGTAGGGTATTCTGGTGCGGTGCTTTGGGCTTTGGGGATTTAGAGACAGAAGTTCTTGGGTTCGGCGCATTGCGTTGGAGTCCGATGAGTTTCGTTGGTCTTGTTGGTTGCAAGTACTGGGAGGTTACATACACGTACTAGTCTCAAACCCTAAACACCCTAAAGCCCGAAACCCTAAACCCTAGGCTGTTGCAGGCCACAAAACCTACGACTCGAAAATTGTGGGTCTTGATCTCTGTTTGGAGGGTCTGCATCTCATGTTGCAATGAAGCACATGTTGCATACATATCATACAAATAGAAAAGATACATTTACATAAATATTTATATATATATATATACACATGTATTTACACATATACATATACATACATATATATATATATATATACACACACACATACCGAGATAAATGGGTAGATGGATAGATTTATAGGTAGGTAGGTAGGTAGGTAGGTAGGTAGGTAGGTAGGTAGGTAGGTAGCGGTGTATGACATATAGATACATACGCAAACTCGTACATATGTCAAACATACATGCGTGTGTTCGTGGAGAGTTTACACTGATCTCTGCGAGTGATCCAGGACCGAAGCAAGCAGGAAACAAGCGGCCACCATAGATTCTAACCCTAAACCCTAAACCCTAAACCCTAAACCCTAAACCCTGAACCCTAAACCCTAAACCCTAAACCCTATAGATCTGAGACCTTGGGTCGGCGATTTCCAAATCAAAGGCTAGTTGAATTTCATGTCGCAGGGTCGATCGTGAGGGCTATCGTTGAACAGAACCTCGAAAAAGGGTTTAGGGTTTAGGGTTTAGGGTTTAGGGTTTAGGGTTTAGGGTTTAGGTAAGGATTCAAGTCGGGTTGGTAACTCACCACCCTAAACTCCAATTTCCAAGCCTTGAAGCTTTTGACCCTAAATCCTGCACCCGAAACCCGATTTGCAGCTTCAATCAAAGCCCTACACGCAAACGAACATGTAGTCAAGTTTCCATAAATCTTACAAGCCTACATAAAAGCCTATCATGTAACCTATGATACAAAAACACTAACCCGCCCCCCCCTCCCACCCTCCCCAGAAAACCTCAGGCACGCCTTGGTCGCCTTTTAGATGCTAGGCCCTGAGATCTCTGATGGGGTGCAGGGCTAGGGTCCCGGTTCGTATGTAGGACTACCCATAGGCCCTAAAGTAGTTCCTTTTTGGGGGTTCATATATAGAATCCTATAAGGTAACGCCAAAAAGGAACTATTTCAGGGCCTATGGGTAGCATTATGTACTCGCATGAGTATTCGTGTTAGGTTTCGAGATTTGTATGGTTAATGTAGGGGCCTTAATAATTAGAATAGGGGTTTTTGGGTTCCTTATTGTAACTATACTATAACATGCCGCGAAACCCTATTGAAATTATTAAGGCTTCTACATCATGAAGGGTTTGCATACAGAGCTTCACATCTACGAAGTGTCGGACCTCTATCTCAGGGCCTTGAGGACTTGAGGTTTCTAGCATGTGCATTGAGGTTTGCCTTCCCGACCTATGGATCTTTGCGGTGGTTTAGGGTTTAATGTAATCTGCTACTTTGGAACGGTTTAGGGTTCACGGCTTAGGGTATGCAATCTGCTACTTTGGGGGTTCGCGTCCGGCAACACAGCGACTTGGCAATTGAGCTTCGGGTGCAATCCTGGTCGATGCTACGGTTTATGATGTTTACAGTAGTCCTTGCGCAACTGAGCAATCCCCACAGACGTCGAATGTCGCAGCCATTTGTTGGGCTCTTGCTCCGGCCATCCTCCCGCTCTTCGCGCTTTGCACTTCTGTTCCCATTCAGGCGCGGGGCCTAGTCATGGTTTCAGCTCCTAGGCTTCAGGCCTTGTAAAGACCTTCGGGGTTTAGGGTTTAGGGTTCAGGATTTAGGGTTTAGGGTTTAGGGTTGAGGGTTCGGAACCCAGGGTCTTTGGTCCATCACTGGCTGTTGATAAGGACATCGGCTTAGGTGCCCTTATCCCTGAATAGTTTAAGCTTCCCAGAAGGCCTCGAGTGAAGCGATACTTCTCTGCTTTCCCTGATCCCCTCCAAAATCTCTGAAGTGGCAGGTGGACGCGAGAGGGGCTCAACATAATACAGAGGTGTTTCTGTGTTCTTTGTTCAGAAAGCCCTGCAGTTTCTATCTGACTGGTGTAGACTATAACATACCCCAGAACCATACTCGAGTTATCAAGGCCCCTGTATGATGCTCATCTGAGCCCTCAAGCCACAAGACGTGGAACCTCAAGAGGAAGACCCACAAGACTCCTTGCAAGTATGTTTGAAGCTCATTGTGTCTCTTCTCTGTTTCTGGCCGAGGTTTTAGGGAATTCGGTTTGGGGCTCAGGGTGCAGTGCTAACTTGCATCTATGGGAGAGTGGATTGTGTGATGCTTAGCAGCTTAGCTAGGGACCGAGCAGGAAGAAATGGCCGCCCACAGCAGCACAAACGAATCCTATGTGCAGGAGCTGCGTCGCATAGGTTCCCACGCCGGCCCACGCCCCACCGATAAGCAATAAGCAAGAGCCCATACCCAAGCCCTCGTTGTTGGGCTCCTCCGAAATTTCCGCCGAACTTCCGAATAACGGAAATCAAGGCGTGTTCCTGGGGGGTGAGCACTCTTATCTTTTTAAGGTTCATCTCCACGTCTTTTATGCGGCAGTCTCTTGAGCCCGTCATACCTGCTTTGAGCTTTTGATCATGAACCGGGATCCTGTTCGCCCCCAACCCTGTTCTTACCCTGCAAGTCTTGATCTACAGCCTAAGGCCTCAAGCCTAAGCCTAGGGTTTAGGGTTTGGGGCTTTGGAAACTTAGATGTTTCTTCGGTTTCGACTAGATGATGTTAAGAATAGTGAAACGGCCACCCTCAAATACAGGACGTGTGTATATACTGTATACATTTTAGCTGCATAGACTATGGAAAGAAGAGAATAGTCCGGCCAAGACAGAATTGGGTCATGTTCAGCACGAAGTATGCATATGGAAACAATACAGAAACTGCCGAGCAAGATCCGCCCTTTGTTAATTTGTCCGTGCCGGTGCTGCGCCAGCGCCTTGCTTTTTGAGCGATTCGCAACAGTCACAGCAGGGTAGGGCTGAGAAAATCTACAGCAGGAGGGGAGGGAGAGAGAGAGAGAGAGGGTTTCATTATTCTGTCCCCTACACTGAAGCCCTTCTTCTGTGCCAAGGCATGGCATTTTCCATGGCTTCACAGGAGGCTCTTGAGCAACTTATTCGGATCAGCTGAGCCTGGGTTCATCATATGGGTAGTTCTCTGTGTTAGGGTCCCTTTTTAGGAACCCAACAGAAGGCGGCACCCTGATAACAGGGACCTGAAATTACGGTGACTCTTGAGCTTGCTTACCATGTCTCCTAAGACTCCGAGTAGAAGCCCCGAGCTTTAACACCCCCGCGCCATGAGCCCTTAAATCCTGAAACCCAAACCCTGAACCCCAAACCCTGAACCCTGAGCCCTAAATCTTAAACCCTGAACCCTAAACCCTGAACCCTAAACCCCCAACCCCAGACTTTACACCCTGAACCCTAAACTCTGAACCCCAGAAGCCCGATCTAGGCACCTGAGTAAGCAACCCTGGGTCCTTATAAGGGTTCTTGACATGAAATCCTGATATTTTGGAGTTGCAGGGCCAGGGGTTTAGGGTATAGGGAACTCTGATGTTTTGGAGTTATAGGGCCAGGGTTTCTTTATCAGGTTCCTACAAATTATCTCTCATCGAGGGAAGTTTCTAGACAAGGATGCCCCCACAGGATACCGATGACCTTCCCAAAAAGGACCCGAAAGGTAAGCCTGTAATCATACCGAGGGCAAGTGATAGAAGCCTGGAGCGTATAGGTCTGCTGCACGACTTGTAATGGTTTGGAACCTGCATCGCAGAGTTGGAATGATGGCAGTAGTATTGCTCAGACGACCTCTCAATTCCATGATGCTGCTGTAGAACGAGGACACTCCCACCAGCCACCTACTCACCTGTCAATGCGGACCGATGCAGGAAGACTTTTCCCTCGGTCGCTTGTTGGACGTGAAGTTCAACGAGAGTCTCGGTTTGGTTGAGAAAAAGCAACCCCATGCTACACAAAGCATCCGAGCATTCGCATAAAGAAACTTGCGGAGCATCTCATTAGCTGCACACATCATCACCACTGTGTCTATCGCCACCATGTTCTCATGCGAAATCCTCATGCTGCTCGCTCTGGGTCATGTAACAGAATCTCGCATGGGCCCTACAAGCCCCGCTGCAGCTTCCTAATCTAATGCTGTTGAAATCCTGTCCCTTGTATTTGTGTCACCCAGAGTGATGCTAAACATCAGAGGTTCACGAGGAAAAATGCGCGGACATCACGTGCTGCTCGTGTTAGTATTTGCTTTAGTCTGCAGGTGTCCATCGCATCTCATGAGCTTGCAAGCCCAGGGGAGGCATATGCTTGCAGGATCTTTGCCGGTTGCGGAAGAAGTGGCATCCCTCCAAGCTGATGACGAGCTATCTTGCACTTAGAGGCCCTGTTGGTTCAGGAACACCCTGAAGAATACACATTTGTCGGATACCGTAGGGGGTCGGTTACCCCATCCTGGTCCACTAAATTCTATTTTGTCCGGTTTCATAAGTCGCAGATCCCCTGTGACGACTAAAGTCTTTAGGGGTCTACGATAACGTGCATCATTGGTCTTCTGTGACCACTAAAGTCCGGGTGCTATTTTCAACAGTGTTCGTGGTTGCATTTCAATCCCTGCCAGGACCACTAAAGTTCGGGGAAATGTGGGCCAGGGCATTGACCAGCATGTGCTGGTCATAGGGCGGACCCAAATCGGGTAACCGGAAGGGGGGGGGGGTTAACCAGGACATGAAAATTACTGAAGCTGCAAATGGGCCCTTAGTCTCACCCTTATTGCCCAATAAACCCTGCACACCCTTAACCCTACATTCAAGACCCTGCACCCTCAACCCCAAACATCAACCCAGGATTCATGCCCGCCTAGACAAGCTCGAGGTGCTGATGCTTAAGAGTTTAATTGGGCTTTAGGAGTTTAAGGCTTCAAGGTCTCAGAAATTTAGTCGGGGCTGCTGTAAGAGTTCCTTCGAGTGTTCTGTAAGGGTACTACAAGGTTCAGGCCTAGGCTCCGTTTTTTGGCTTGGTCTTAGGGTGCGGGGTTGGGAGTTTTAGGGTTTTGGGGTTTCGGGCTTATAGGATTTAGAGTCTCGGGATTTAGGCTTTGAGGGTTTAGGCTGTTTGGTTGAGGGTTTTGGGTTTGGGACCCTTTCGGCCATTTTGGGTTCCATGTTCGGAGTGGGGAGGGTTGTTGCCTATCTGAGGTTCCGAGCACTATCAGACGTTCTGACAAAGAGTGATCATCGAAAGAGAGAGAGAGAGAGAGATATGTGTATATATATATATATATGTGTATATATATATATACATATATATATATATATACACCCAATGTCTCCATGTAACCATCTAGTATGTGCATTGGCCATAAAGTGCCTACATAGGGTATCCTTCAACGCCTAAGCATACATAAAGCAAAGGAACATGGAGCCTTAGGGCTATATATATATATATATGTATCTGTATCTATATACATCTGTATATATATATATATATGTATATATATATATATATATATAAATCGTACTGCAGCCCCCGAGAAGAGACTTCTGGTGCAGCAGGGCGGAGTGTTGCTGTCTAGTCGACAAGCAAACGCTTGGTTAGAGGTTTCCTTTCCTGGACAGTGGGCCCTTCGCGGCTTTGGGGTGCTGAGACCCTCCCTCTGCTCTAAACCCCAAACGTCCCCTTAGCCCTACAAGCCCTGAACCCTAAAACCCTAAAGCTGTACGCACGCCACTTCCTGGAATGTTAGTCTTCCGAACGAGGCTGCGATTGACACGAAGGCCGACGACGTCAAGCTCCAAGGGGTGGACTTGGCTGTCCAAGGCGCAACGACTGTGGCTTGAAGTACGTCTGCCCTTCCAGAGATTCGCTCGATGTATTACCTATCTAGCTATTCTAGCTGAGACTAGATTCTGAGATATGGGTCTACCACATTCTTGTCATCCTTCACTCTATTAGCTATCTTTTGATCTGACGCATCTTTCCATTCGTGTCGTTTGCGCTCGCATAGTACGCGGGCGTGCAGAGTCTGGAGGAGAGCCTGGGTGCACAAGTGCGCCAACAAATTCCCCAGGAACCCGGAAAACAGAAATCTGCAATCCTGAACCCTAATTAGAGGCCCTAAGCCCTAAACTTAAGCTCGAAGTCCTAAGCCCCAATGACCCTTTGATAGAAGCCCTCAACCTTCAGGCCTTCAGGAACAAGCCGAGACAGCGAGCGGCCACGTTTCCAAGTTGGAGGAGGCCAGTGGTCGAGGGCCTCGGGGTTGAGTTTAGGGTTTAGGGTTTAGGGTTTAGGGTTTAGGGTTTAGGGTTTAGGGTTTAGGGTTTAGGATTTCGGGGGGAGGGGGGGGGGGGTTGGGGTTGAGGGTTGAGGGTTAAAGGTTCCGTTAAGTAAATGGGGCTTCGGGTTTGGGGTCTAGGGCCTTTCGGGTTTCTTGTAATGGGGTTTAGGATTTAGGGTTGAGGGTTTGTCTACAGTCTTGAAGGCTCACTTAAGGGTTTCTGCAAAGGTTCGCCGCTGATGCTCATGATGCGCTCACTGTGATTTCCCTAAACCCTAAACCCTAAACCCTAAGCCCTAAGCCCTAAACCAAATTTTCAATGTTACACAGCAATTTCCCTATGATTCCCGGGTGTCGTAACCTGGAAATGCGGTCAGCCACTGATGCTCCTGATGCGCTCTCCAGTGCCCTCCGACACTGCGATTTTCAATGTTGCAAAGCAATTTCCCATTGACACCCTGGTGTCGTAGCCTGCAAAGCGGTCGGCCACTGATGCTCATGATGCGCTCTCCATTGCCTTTCGACACCGTGATTTTCAATCTTGCAGAGCAATTTCCCTATGATTCCCGGGTGTCGTAACTTGCAAAGCGGTCGGCCGCTGATGCTCATGATGCGCTCTCAATTGCATTTCGACTACGAGGTATCGTGCAATAAGGGGTGTCAGGGCCTCAGATTGTTTGAGGGATAGGATTTCAGGCTTAGGGGTTCGAGGTTTAGGGTCCAGGGGAGGTTGGCAGGGTTTAGGGTTAGCTTAGGGCATCGGGGTTGTGGGGCGGTCCTTTGTGACTGAGTTTAGACTCTGCGCGGCGGCTGTGCACGGTCATAGCATGCATGGAATGCAGCCGGCTATGGTGTTGGTGCTGGGTGTCCGGGTGGTTGTATGTAGCTGGTTATGAATTTGCTGGTGGCGGTGGCGGCCTTCGTAGTTGCGTTGTGCCGGTGGCAACAGTGGTGGTAGAATTGATGACTGGACTGAAATAGAAGCAACCAAGCACAACAAGACGAGTGTTCGTGAAGCTCACAGGGCGCATGCCACACAAGTTTCCACAGATCACAGTATTGGTAGCAACAACCTTGGGTAACAACGTGCCAGGTTCTGAAGTCCAAGGCCAACGCCCAGGACGTGCCCACGGTGCCCCAGCATCTTGGCATGCACAGCCCTGAATCTACACCTCTGGAGTTGAACTTGGCCTAAGCGTCTTACTCGACCGATCGTGGCATTGCGATCACGCATGGTGTAATCCATTTTACCCACCATACTCCATTGTACCCATTATGCCCAGTTTAGCCAGTATTGTCAATCTACCAACATGCTCGCACCGCTGCAACCAAGATCTCAAAACAGATCCGGCTGCGCTCGTTCAGATCAACTTTGTTGCCGAGGGCACATGAGCTTCACTTTGAAGCTTCGCGCTTTGAGTGCTCATTGTCCCGAGACTTCCAGAAGTATTGGGCTAAACCCCAAAAACCCCAAAGGTAACATCGGCACTAGTGATAGACCTTACTTGGAGGATCATGGGACTTATAGTGACTTAGTAAGTCAGGTTTAAAGTGCATAGTTACCTTATTTATAGCCCTAGTTACTGAGCAGCAGGATCCTTTAAGTAGACCCGCAAACTCATTACAGTTGAGAGGTGCCAGACCCAGAGCCGGTACTGTTTGCGAAGTAGGTACGATGGTTGCTACTCAGAGCCCTATACGCTAAACCGCAAACCCGCAAGTAGCCCTAAACTCTAAACCCTAAACCCGGAACCGAAAAGTTAGAGCCGTCGACCCCTGAACCCTGAACCCCAAAGTAGGTGCCACTGATGGGGGCTGTGACCGAACCGTTGGAACCTTCTGAGGTTCCACTCCCTGGTGGATGCGGTGCAGCAAAAGGTTGGGAGGGGGTTTAGGGTCTGAGGGGGTGTAGGGTTTTATACCGTTCCACCTGCAAAAACGCATATGGAACCCGAAAGAATCGGGACTGTCATAGTTCCTACGACTAGTCTTAATGGCCCATTACGGGTGTAGGACTTTACCTACTACTGGGCTACAGGGGTCGCACTAATGTCTAAAAGCATCCCTTAAGTCTCCTACTTTGCTGTTGTGTCCGACCTGGTTTAGGGTTTAGGGTTTAGGGTTTAGGGGGGTTTTAGGACTTCAGCGCCAAACCGCAGGCAGAGGTCACGGAGGTGCCCACCAACTCGCAGCTGGAGGCGGGCTTCTGAGGGATAAAATCGGGGCCGAAATAATTTCCAACAGTATTACTGATAGGGTTTCTGTTTTTAGTTAAAGCATAGGCTAAATAATTACAAATAGTATTTCTGAAGGTTCCTTACTATAGTGAGAGCATGATCTGCCCCAACACCCTATTCTGATCATGCAGCCTCCTAAAGAACCAGGAAGTCAGGTTCGTTTGGGCACTCTCGAAATTCAGATGATCAGAATTCAAATTGTGCTTAGACGACGATGCTTGAAGAACTCCAGAGGGCACATGCAATGCAAGGAGCGCCTGGTTTTGTGTGATCAAATTAGATAATTAGATGCTTTCAGGTTTCTTCCCGATGGTCTTGAACCATATTCCTGGCTTTGTCTCAGGTACTATGTTCAGCTCTACATCTGGATACTAAAGTGTCGCTGTTTCTTTTTCTACCACCCAGGCCGTCAAGAAGCTGCTGGACATGAAGATCGACTCGCCCGCTGTGGAGTCGATTAAGGACATGCATGCAAGTCTTCAGACTGTGGGTTTTGGGCCTGGACTAAGAATAATCAAAACATCTTAAAAATATCAGAACATGGTATTACCCAGAATAAGAATAGCAACAACAATCATGGCAATAGTCCTACTGACAGACGGCGTTGACGAGACTCGAACCTGCTGACAACCCTATGCATTTTACCATCTTTGTGAGGGCCTTCTTGGAGGTTCCTTATCCGTGTTTATAGGGCTCCTTCGGCATTTATTTTGGCGACAGTGCATTCGGGGTTCCCGTTTAGGGCGCTCTAGCGTTGCACCCATGCCTGAACCACAGAATCTTACAAAACCCAGCTTTCGTCGAACCAACATCTTGAGCCTTTGCGCGCGCCACGGCCCCCACAAGCAGGTCCGTCTAGGACCAAGGTCCTTCCCTAAACCGACCCTAACTCATGGGTTCCCTGCACCACCCCCCCCTCCAGCACCCCCCCCGCGCAATTAGTGGCCTATTAGTTGACTAATAGGGAATCACCCGCTATTAGCTAGCCCCTGACCCCTTGAAGGACAGGGCTCTAATAGGCTTGTCTTGGCCTTCATAGTTAAAGCAAGGTGAAGGCTATGGTGAGAAGTTGTCAGGGTCTCAGGGAGGTTCATGTTGTTGTTTTTACCATGTCTACTGGATCTTAGGGTTTTATTGGTTGAAGATAGTGCCTGAATACATCTAAGATGTCCGTTGCTACAGGGTGCTATGGTTATATTCCGGAACCCGAGTACATGCCCGGGAATCTAACTCGACTGCCCAGCTTCGAGCATACAGGAAAAGCCCAAAGTTTGGAAACCCAATGGCCTCAATCCTTAAGAGTAACGTGTAGGGAACCCCAGCACTAATTGTCCTGGATCCGGTTTCCAACTTTATGGGGTTCACTGTAGTTGTTGTGGGGATAGCCCAGCCGCTGATCAACACGTTCAGGTGCCAGCTGAGGTCGAAAAAAGGGAGATCTTGGATGCCCCTAATCCAAGAATCCTTTGTGCTGTACACCTGGAGAACTCTAAATCCAACCCGTTCGGGGTCGCAATTAAATCCAAACCCGCATGGGGGTCCCTGTATTATATGAATTATCCTACTGCTCAGCGTTCTGTATGGGTAGTTCTCGAGACGGTTTCTTTTAGGGTCCTGTTTGTCAGGGAGCCGTATAATTTTTGCGACCCCAATAGGGGCCCTAATTAGCCCATAACCCCCTGAACCCTAAATCCCTGAACAGCAAACCGTATTTAGAGAACTGCCCATCCTAAGTCTGCTTAGTTCGCCAATACCCAACCTTTAAACTTTTTGGGTTCTTATAACTTAGTAGTAATCTGAGAGTTTAACCCTAAACCCTAAACCCTAAACCCCAAGCCCTACAAACCCTAAACCCTAAAGCGCTTATTGGGGAAGTAAGTCTGCGCAGGAGGCCCTCGAAGGTCAACTCCGGGCCCATGCCACCGAGTTCCAAGCAAGCCGTGAGGCGGCTGCCACCGAGGCAAAGAAGCCGCCCGACATGCAGAGTAGAATATAAATAAATAAATATGTACGTACTCTATATATACACTATATATATATGCTTGTATGTTCATTTACCTAGTTTTGTGTTTTTTTTGTAATGTAGTTTTTGTTTATGGTTCGGGGCGTTTAGGGTTTCCTGTTTGGGGGATTATTCAGAATTTTCAGGGTTATTGCTTTTGGGTTCTCTGTTTTGGGGTGTATGGTTGTTTAGGGTTTTCGGTAGTATATGGGGGTTTAGGGCTCAGTGTTTGCGGGTCTGCCGCTCTTGTATTAGGGCTGAGGAAGAGGGTCACGCGGGTAGTGGCGGAGTAGAGAACCTTTAGCCGGTTTGGCCCATATAACCCTGCCGTTGCGTCAATATCGCCAAATGTCCACGTGCCCAAATAGGAGAAAATAAACTTAGGCCCAAGTACACAAACTGGGACTATACATTAAGGCCAAACCGCATGCTATATAAGGACTTGTACACATAGGGTATGTTACATCGCCGGCTTGCTGGCAGTTCGCTCGACATGCAATGTACCGCCAGAAAGGAAGCCGTACTATCTTTTGCATGTATCCTAAGCATTCGATCTGGAAGTGAGGGTATCAACCGGAAAAATCTGTGCTACTGGTAGGACGGCGAAACCACGTTTTGTTCGGAAATCCTGAATGCCAGACTGCGATTTCAGGAATATCTGCAGGCGTGCGAATGGAGGCTCAAGGGACAAGAGTAATGTAGCTCGGAAGACATCTTAAGTCGAAGCCTGCTGCTAAGGTTTACGCCTCTTGCGGCATTTGAAGGCGGAACCGTTTCAGGATCAACCTTTGGCATCCTGAATTCAAAAAACGTTGGTCTTAACCCTCGCCCCCCACCCCACACATGTCTAAATATAAGCCCCTGTGCCGGAACGCATAGCCGAGGCATGTGCAGGAGTTGGACGACTTGCGTGTGGAGGTTGCGCGCAAGGCCTGGCTTGACGGGCTGGGTCTCCACTGCAAAGGTCGCTGGCTTGGGGCACCGTAATATTGGGGCCTTAATATAAAATTGGAATAAGGTTTTGGTCTTTTGGTGTTCTATTAGGCCCACCTCCCGAATTCCCAGCCCACACGCCTTGACACCCAACCGCAGAAACGCATATCCCGACATCGACTATATCCCACACCGACCTGAAGCCTTATACCCTCCGCCCGAAAACGCTGAATGCCACAAGCCCAACAACAAAGCATACGTGGTCCCTGAGACTCTGCAGCCCCACAAGCCCCAAGCCCCGGGCCGGAAAACCTCGAAGCCGAAACCTAGGGTTTAGGGTTTAGGGTTTAGGGTTTAGGGTTTATCCCAAATCCTACATGCAAGCCCTTTCTCTACGGGTATAGCACCCGAGACATCACCGTAAGAAGCACAACAACAACAATCTCAAGATCACCCCTAAACCCTCAACTTCCCTGAACCCAAACCCTAAACCCCTTCCAAACTTCCCAGAGCTCTTCCCTAAACCCTAAACCCGCTTCTAAACCCCCCCTAAGCTTCCCTGAAATCCACTTAAACTTCCCTAAACAACTACCCCCAAACTCCCCTCAGCGAGGCCGAATCTTCGGCCGTGCCGACGCTTCAGCAGTTGGAGCTCCGCTTGGGGGATAAGGCGGCAGGGCTTGAGGGTTTGGGGCTGTAGGTTCTAGGGGTTCTAGTCTGTTCTTGTTTAGCATGTTCTAGTGTTTTGGCTTCCGGGTTTTCTGGCCTTCGGAAGTTTTTTTCAGGCCGTGAGCCCAATCCGAGGTCGGTGCTCGGCTTCCGAGATCATTCATGGTTTTCGTACTTGCTTGGATGTGTGTTGAAGATGGGCTTGTATGTATCTGTATCAAAGGTATATTACTTCCAAGTCTCCCGAGCTTTAAAGCAGCATTTCTGGTGCTTTGAGCTTGCCGCTGGGGCTCCTTGCGACACACTGTCAGCATTCAGGGCTGTGGGGCAGCATGGCTGTACCGCGGGTTCATTCCCGGTTTTTCATGCATCCAAGACATAACAATCTGATCAACATTCCACGAGCTTGGTACCTTGGTTGTCCGACCCAGCCCGCAATGGAATACATGCCGTGGTTCTTGAACAGTGGCAGTTCGTCTTAGGTTCCATGTGCGGAGCGAAAGAGAGCGTTCCGTGTCGTGCCAAGTTGATTGTAGACTACGTAGGTGCTTGGACGTTGCTTCATGCTGACAGGCGGATCTTTCAGCTGTTCCGACATACGAGCAGATGCAGGCGCGCGTGGATGGATATAAATGTCGAGCATTGTTTGTTTTTGTGGTTTTTCCCCGAACAGCTTTAGCTGAG